CGGCCCCGCCCCCTCGCCTCCGGGACGCCGCGTTTCCCTGACGACGACGCGCCGCCCAATGGAGACGCGGACCCCGCCCTCTCTCCCTCCTTGGCCCGCCCCTCTAGCTGAGGATTCTGCTCTCTGATTGGCCAGAGCCTTCGGGGACCACCCACTTTTTTCTTCCGGGTTCTAACCGCGCCCCTTAAGAGTGCCGACACTGCCCCGCCCCCGGTCAGTGACAGCTGTGGGCGGGACCTAGAGAGGGCGGGGCTCCCACGTGGAGCTCTCCCGAGGTTCCTGCCAGGGCCCAGCTCCGCCTTTCGGAATCTGAAAGCTGACGTTGCCTGAGAACCGCAAACGCGAAGCCGCGGTGCTGGAGTCCTGGGCAACGTCACAGAATCCCGGCGTAGGCGCAGGGCAGGAATTAGCATGCTCTCCGAGGACAGGAAGGCCGGAGCAACTCCGACATAGGGGGTCATTAGTGACCACGCACGGAGGGTCGGGCGCGGGGTTCCTGCCCCCTCAGCGACTCCATGAAAGGAGTGGAAGCGCAGGCCACACGCTGGGACAATCCACTTCCAATCCCGTAGTGGCCGAAGAGTCTGCAGGCCGGTGGCGTGGTGGTTAAGGCGCCAGACTCCCACAGGGCCCACCGTGGTGGGAGTTGCGGTGACTTGCTTTCTCGCTTTCCCTGTCTCTCTCTAGTTAAAAAAAAAAAAAACTGGGACTAGCAGGTGGCGTAACGGTTAAGGCGTTGGACTTCCACGTGGTAGACCACAGTTCGACTCCTGGATGCTGCAGCTCACACCTCATGCCCAGTACCTGTGTGCTAACCCAAAGTCCCAGAGGGAAATGGAGAAGGGACTCTGGCGTGGCCAGCCTCAGGCGAGGTGATTTCTCACTTTCTATCTCCTTGTCTTTCTGGGGAGTGCATGCATCCCATGGCAAAAATAAAGTCTCCAAAAGTAATAATAGTGATAATGAATAAAATTAAATAAGTAGATCAAACAAAAATTCCTACAAATCAGAAAGACAAAGCACCCTAGCCAGGACCTGGCCAGTGGCATGGGGATTAAGGTGGCTGGATCCCACAGGGCCAGACTCCAGGTTCCAGCTCTGACCCAGTATCTTGAGAAATACGCCTGTGTGCACCTGTGCCCCGAACCCTGACGGAAGGCTGACGTGGAGGAGGAACTGGCCTGGACGTCCCCGTGGGGGTGTTGCCTGCTTTCTCCCTCTCTGCATCTCTCTCCTGCAAGTGCACGCACCCTCTGGCAAAGTTAAAATAAATGAACAAACCCCACAAGGAGCAGGTTCTTCAAAAACAGTTCAGCCTGGGAACCAGCAGTTAGCGTAATGGCTATGTCGCTGGACTCCCACGTAGTCGACCGTGGTTCGTGTCCCGGACCCGGTGGCTTAAAACTCACGCCGGGCGCGTGTGCGTGCGTGCCCAAGATCCCGAGAGGAGAATGGAGGAGAAGGGATTGCGGCGTGACCATCCCCCCTGGGGGGTGATTTCTCGCTTTCTGTCTCTATGTCTCTCTCTGTCTGTCTGGAGAGCGCACACGCCCTACAGTGAAAATCTCTCCAAAAAAAAAAACAGTTCAGCCTGCGGCCAGCAGGTGGCGAGGTGGTTACGGCACTGGATCCCACATAACGGGCTCCAGGGCTCAAGTCCCAGACCCGTGCACATGCGTGCCCAAAATCCTGGCAGGAGCGTGGAGAAGGGGCTGTGGCGTGGCCATCTGCCCTGGGGTATTTTCTCACTTTCCCTCTCTGTCTCTGACGAAAATCTAAAAAAGAGAATTCATCCGGACCAGCAGTTAGCGTAATGGCTATGTCACTGGACTCCCATGTAGCTGACTGTGGTTCGAGTCCTGGACCTGGTGGCTTAAACTCACGCCGGGCGCATGTGTGTGCGTGCCCAAGATCCCGAGAGGAGAATGGAGGGGAAGGGATTGCGGTGTGGCCATCCCCCCTGGGGGGTGATTTCTCGCTTTCTGTCTCTGTCTCTGTCTTTCTGGCAAGTGCACACGCCCTATAGCAAAAACCTCTCCAAAAAAAAAAAGAAAGAAAGAAAAAGAATTCATCCAAACAGCCAACAGGTACGTGTAAAAAGCGCCTATGTTGTTACTCGTCAGGGAGTTACCCGTAATCAAGTACCTC